AGTAACATAAAGTAGTGTTCTCACGTTCTCACATTAAATTGTGTTCTCATTTGAACTTAACCCTATATATATATATATATATATATATATATATATATATATATATATATATATATATATATATATATAGGATATAGATCCGGTAAGAAATTTTTTTTGGTAGGAAGGTAAGAAGTTTTATTTCTACATATTTTTTGACGAACAAAATAAATGAATCACTAGATGATTCATTTGTAAGATGATTCACAAGAAAAAATTCCAAAAAAAACATCTTTATGATTCATTTTTAAGTAAATGAAGAAAAAATTCATTTTTATGACAATTTTAGTGAATAACAACAAAATCATTGTATAAATGAATCATCAAGATGTTTTTTTGAGAATTTTTTCTTGTGAATCACCTTACAAATGAATCATCTAATGATTCATTTTGTTTGTTCGCGAAAAAAATATGTAGAAAAAAAACTTCTTACCTTCCTACCAAAAATTTCCTTCTTATTTGATCTTGAATATATATATATATATATATATATATATATATATATATATATATATATATGACACAGCTAAATACCAAAATAGTGGCTTTGTAAGCTTTTAACTTACCTTTGTCTATGTTAAAGGAAAGAATGAGTATGCAATAGTTTTAGCCTTCACCAATACTAGAGTCCAAAATGGAAATCCAACATCGGTGGTGTCATCAATCATCTATCTAAACAACTTGTATCCTGTATTTAACTTCATTTTAATTAATATAATATTAATCAAACCATCTGATCTTCTACGTACTTGAAAACATATATTTCATTTTTCAAAACAAGGACAAAATCATTTCTTTCTATATAAAGCCAGCCTCTCAGTAAAGAGTTTACTCCAACTTATATTCATATTCCCTATTTCATATATCTACAACCACTATGTCTATGCCATCCACAAACCGCATATCCCTGGCATGTTTGGTTTTACTCTTCTTCTCGGCTACTTTGCTTTCACACACTGCATCTCGGTTGCTCCCTGACATTTCAAGCTATGAGAGCCACGAGCAATGGATGGCTCATTACGGACGTGTGTACAAGGATGCTGATGAGAAAGAACGGCGTTCAAAGATTTTCCAAGAGAACGTTCAGTACATACACTCATCCAACAATGGCATGAACAAAGGTTACAAACTAGCAGTGAATAAGTTTGCAGACCTTACAAACCAAGAGTTCACGAGCACAAGGAACCGATTCAAGGCACATGAATGTTCCACATCCAGCTCTGCTTTCAGGTATGAAAACTTGACACCTGTCCCCTCATCGATGGATTGGAGAAAGAAAGGTGCAGTAACACCTATTAAAGATCAAGGCCAATGTGGTAATTAAGCTAGCTAGCAAGAATTAATTGTTTTAAGAATTTCACAATTGAAACGTATTCTATGTTGCTGACTTAAAAGGTTCATCATGATATATATGTTGTAGGGTCTTGTTGGGCGTTTTCAGCTGTGGGAGCAATGGAAGGAATAACTCAACTGACAACAGGTAAACTAATCTCTCTATCTGAACAAGAGCTTGTGGACTGCGATACTAGTGGTGTAGATCAGGGATGTGAAGGTGGTCTTATGGATGATGCCTTTGAATTCATCGTAAAGAATAAAGGGATTACAACAGAGAGCAACTACCCATACAAAGCAGTGGATGGAAGCTGCAACAGCAACGAGGCATCAAACCATGCTGCAACAATTACGGGTCATGAAGATGTTCCTGCTAATAGTGAAAGTGCACTGTTGAAGGCTGTAGCCAGTCAGCCTATCTCTGTGGCTATTGATGCAAGTGGGTCCGACTTCCAGTTCTACTCTAGCGGGGTGTTTACTGGAGAATGTGGCACGGAACTTGACCATGGCGTTACTGCGGTTGGTTATGGAACGACTGCTGATGGAACTAAGTATTGGCTTGTGAAGAATTCATGGGGAACAACTTGGGGTGAAGAGGGGTATATAATGATGCAAAGAGATGTTGATGCGAAAGAAGGAATTTGTGGCATTGCCATGCAGGCTTCCTACCCCACTGCATGATTAATTTCTGGATCATCATCACCAACAGTAATTAATACTATTGTATATTATATCTATAATCTATTTGGCGCCGTGTTATTTAATACAAGGAAACTTATAAACTATGTACATGTATCTGAAAACTAATTAAGTCTTCAAAAAGTTGGAACTATCAAATTGTGTATGCATCTCATGAAAATTTGTGAGCTTGGATGTCTTTTCCTGATGCCATTTGCTAGTTTCTCTGAGCCTGGTAATTAATGTCAACATAAGAATCACCTATATGTTGAGGATGAGAAAGTTTCTCAAGGTACAAAGGAAAAAGATAAAACATCTACAATACGAACCAAAGAGAATTTGATGAATGTTTATCTTGTTTCACTAATGATACCCGAGTGAGGAAAAACACTAGGTACTTCTTTAAGTCGTGGACCTAACCAAAGACTTAATTAACCTTTTGCAGGCTTTCTTGACCTTCGTTGCAGTCTTTGACTTCTGCATATTGCTATCCTTCAACGCCTAATGAACGTATAATTATTAAACATGTGCAACTATTTTCAGAGTTTTTTACATAAACCTTGTAGTCGGAAAAATGAATTACCAAGTAATGGTATTTTTAAATATATTTACCTATTAATTGTAGTTTTATTAGAACCTATAAAAAAATTAATAAAAATAAAAAGGAACTTACACCCTTGTTTTCCTTGGTCGCGGTTTTTCTCCCTCTCCCTGAGCCTTCAACACCATCACCGGTAACTGCCATTATTATGTTATGATACGTTGAAAATTTTTATGTTATGCATATCTTCGTTTTGCCTTCAACTTAAATTATTTTCCTCTAGGTACAGGCGTTGGAACTAACTAACTTTTTTTTGTGCAACTAAATAGATTAGCTGTTTTCTTTTGTTTTTACTTGGAGCTCAAGAACAGAACAAGAAGCATGTATGAAATGGGCTAGATACCGAACATAAGCATTCCGTTTAGAAACTTTAATGTTTTGTGATTCAAGTCAACATTATTTTTTCTAGTAGAAGAGTTTTCTGATGGGGTTTGTATTAAGTGATATATTATCATGTGTGCTTTATATGTATATTATATTCTATATTTAACCTAGTCAATAGACTTAGTTGTATATTCCTAGATAATCTCTAAGTCAGTTTGTAATCTTGGCTATATATGCCAATCGTATCTTGTACTCTAAATAAATTTCTCAATACAACAAAGCATTGATTTATATGGTATCAGAGCCATCCTGCTCATACGAGCCAAATCGTTCCTACCCTATTCTCTAAAATCAGTCAACAATCACAACAATGGCTTCCAAAAATACAACTCAAATCACCGCTTCCACTCACCTCACAATCAAACTTACGCCAAACAATTATCCGGTGTGGAGAAAATAGGTTGAATCAACCTTAATCAGCCTTGACCTAGATGGTCACCTCACCTCAGCACCACCGGCGACCACCCTCACAGACAAAGATGGAAAAACCATCGCAAATCCAGAGTATCGGCCATGGTACTGCAAGGATCAGATGATCTTTAGTGCAATTTTAGGGAGTTGCTCAGATTCAATCCAACCCCTGGTGTCATCTGCTACAACAGCCCGTGAGGCTTGGAATCGACTCAGTTCCAGTTACGCCTCTACTTCCAGGTCACGCATCATCTCCCTTAAATCTAAAGTTGTGAAGAACCCTAAAGGATCACGATCGGTCACAGAATTTCTCCAGGACATGCGTGCTATCGCTGATTCCCTGGCCCTTGCCCAGAGCCCCGTCACCGAAGAGGACCTCATGGTCCATATTCTCTCACAGCTTGGCGACGAATATCACACAATTGCTGCTGCTCTCAAGGTACGAGAAAATCCAATTGAATACTCAGAACTGTTTGACAAACTTACTGACTTTGAACGTAGCCTCAAAGAAGCCCCTCCTCCTTCTGATATCCTGCCTACCACGGTGAATTACACTACCCGCAATCAAGGATTCCACAATCGGTCATCCAGTACCAACTCTTACAATCGCCATACTCGATCTTCACCGCCCTTTCAGTCTCGTGGCTCTCAGCAGTCACAATGGCATAACAACAACAATCCTGGTGGTAACCGAAACACAAAAAGCAACCAGTTTTGTCAATTCTGTCACATCCCAGGTCACCTCACCAAGGATTGCCGGAAACTAGCACGCTTCCTCCGCGACAACAACATCACAACTGACAGCCACTACAAGAAAAAAGCCCTTTAATGACGCGCAAACAATGACACTCGCTGATAGAGGTCGCGCATTTGTAAGTGCCCTAAAAAATACTGTCAGTTTTGCAAAATTTGAAGGATAGAGGGCACGCATTTGTGCGCGCCCTAAAATTGGTGTTAGAAAAGAAAAATAAATAAATGCGGAGGGCGCCTTTCATAAATTGTGCGTCATGTAAGTGTGTCGCTTTATAATTTTTAAGTGAAACACGTGTTTTAGGCGGGAAATGAAATCGACTAAAATTACTGGCGCCTATTGTATCCCAAAAATTAATCCCCCGCCTCTTCTACTTAGCAAGAAAAAGCCCTAGGTCCTTCATCTTCATCTTCAGCGGTGGGAATACCTAGGTCGATTATTCAGGGTTCAACAACAGATTTGTAAACAACAATCGTATACGATTCTGGATCTCGGCATGATTATGGCGCTTTGGAGCCGACGACGTGAACATCATTCATGAGAAAAGTTCATACAAAATTCAAGAATTTCAATGGTTTCGATTATTGAGTGGGGTACAGGGAGGTGTAATCATTTTGGAATCTTTACTAATTGAGTTGAAATTGAACCCGAAAAACTCAATCCACACTTCGAACATCTCTGATTCTTTCTTCTTTCGCTCCCCAATCTCCTTGGCGGCGCTCTTTCCATTTCCATTTCCAACCTCAAACCACCGTTAAATGGAACCCAACAATTCAATCAATCAAATCGGCAATCACATCGACGATGATGGTGATCAGAACTCATTTCCAAGCCACCGTTATCAGATCATCACCTATTCAAGAAAGAGAAAACACTCTCAATCTCAGGTAATCACACTAATCGATTCAACACAAGTAAACCCTCTTTCGGAATCATCATTCTAGGGCTTGTTCTCCTTGCTCATACGTTCTCATACGATATTCAAAACCTCACTAAGTCTCTCCTTCTCGAAATCCTCGCAAGATTGCCCCTGAAATCAATTTTTAGGTTCAAATGTGTTTGCAAACACTAGCTAGATTTAATTTCTCAGCCTTCATTTTCCTGTTTCTATTGCTCGTATATGCTCACAGCCAACACATCGTCATCATCCTTACCTCAAAATTCTCGATCCTTTGCTCTTTCAAAAAAAGTAAGCAGGTATTTTTGTAAGTTCTTGTGGTCTCTTTACTTTCTGCTTGTATTGATAATATTGAACATATGTTTTGAGAATAGAATATTAAACCCTAGATTCTGGAAACTTGCAGAAAAGGAAGGAGATGAGCTATGCACTCCAAGTGTTCGAAGAAATGCTTAAAAGAAGAATCTTACCTAATTCATACCTTATAACATTACCTGATGTACACAAGACCAAGTGATATGGTACCTAATCACACCTTGCACTCGAATGCATACAGGGCAAGCCTGTATTTATTCTTTTTCTTAATTTGTTGGAGATGGTAACTAAGGATCGTTCTTGTGAACATTCCTTCTTTTCAGGCTGTAGATTATCACAACTAAGAAATAGTTAAACTAAATTTTGTTAGGTGAAACTAGGTATGTTCTTAAATTTCTTTTTTATAAACTTGGTTACATTGGTTGATCTGGTTTTTTTTCATGATCTTATCTAATTTGTGCTCTTGTAGTGCCCATGCACTTCCACCTTCATATCGGTCACTCATGACAACTGATGATTCAAGGATTCTTGATTTCCATGTTGATGGTATGTCCCATTTTAGAAAAGTAGTTCCTACACATTTTAGAAAATCTTGCCTTGCGGATTTTAGAAAATCTTGCCTTGCCTTGCGGATTATCACTTCCTTTAACAATGAAGGCTCCATCGAGCAAAATACATGCTTAAGGTTGTGTTCTCCATTGTTATAATGCAGTGATTATTCTTTTTCCTAATGTAAATATTTTCTTCTCTTGTTTCAATTTCAGTGGAGAATTAATATCATATGTTTGTTGGGGTTACATTGAGCAAAACAGTAGGCGGTAGGCTAATCGCATCCACCCTAGTCCAAGTATCTTTTCCACACACACCCTAAACTTTAAAGATGACTAGAATTAATATTTCATGTAGATGACTTTTTTTTGTTAAATTGCCTTTTCTCAGGAAAGATCCCATCTCTCCAACGGATCAATGGATGACCACAATCGTGGTTCGGGGCAGGTTGTGCTTTTTACTTGTTTTTTTGGAAAGTTGATTACCCTTTCTATTTTTTCATTAATTTTCTGCTTTTGTTTTCTGTTGCTTGCAGATGATGGATGGAACCCAGATCAATATAGATGTAACTGCATTGGGGCTATAATTGCTTTGGGTCTAATGTACTTAAAGGTAACTCTTTGGCAGGAAGGATGACTATATATATTTGTTTATGATTTTATGTCAGCTCTGTTCTCAAGATTTACAACTTTGAAAAAATATTCTAATGACAGACTAAATTGCAAGCGATTCTATCCAGGCTTTGTATCCCATAAACACATTTCGAATTGCAATATGTGAGGCCCCACTTCATAATGCTCCATGTCATTTCCAGTAATTTAATAATGTGGAGCAGGTACTGCTATTTAAAATTCATATGCTACATTAATATTCATGCTGGCTATATGTAAAGAGTAAGAGATCTCTTTAAACACCTTGCATGTGTTTTTAGGATTCATCCATCAGAAGATTGGATTCAGGGTTAGATACCCAAAGTAGTCTTGAATGGCATCAAAGGATTCATCCATCAGAAGATTGTGAGTACATCTCATCAAGAGACTAGTGATTACTTTTCTGATGAATCAAGACGTATACATTGCACAAAATGTGACCTAATGCATATATGGAAGTTGAAAAGCTGCTGACTATGGCATACACTGTTGGCCTCCTTGGAATTGTAAAGCTGCTAACTGTGGCATAGACTGCTGAACACTTAGACTTTGAAAAGCTGACTGGTGGCCACATGGAAGTTGAAAAGCTGACTGTGGCAACTACTGCTGCTGCTGGACACCTGGAAGTTGAGAAGCTGATTGTGGCATAGATTGGTGTCCACCTAGAAGTTGAAAAGCTAACTGTGGCATAGGTTGCTGCTGCTGGACACCTTGAGGTGGAAAAGCTAACTGTGGCATAGGCTGCTTCTGCTGAAATACTAGATGCTTGACCATTTTGAGAAGGAAAAGCAATTTGCGAGGGTCCAGGTGGAGGCAATATATCAGCTAAAAATGTCAACAGTTGAATCAAAATCAAAAGTATCCCCAAATCCCCCTGACCCTGACATTGGGTCAACTGAAAATGATGGTGGTTCAGCAACAGTTGTAGTGAAGGGTGATGTTGGTGGTTAAGCCGAAAATCCATCAGTAGAAGGAACAGCTTTGAAAGGACCATCACCAAACGGATCATCAAATGCCTGCAATCAATGCATAAAGAGTGTAAATTTACAACATAAACAAACTATCAATATGTGTGTGTAGAATCCAGCTTTTAAGACACTCACGCACCCGACTTGTCGATGAGGTATCGAAGGTGAGATAAGGATTAGTATTTGCTGGAGGATGAACTTCAGTGGTTATAGATGAAGTAGATGTTACAACAGCCAAAGCATTTGAAGAAGAGAAAGACTCTGATAGAGAACCAAACAAATCCTCCATCTCTCCACCACCTGATCCTTGCAGGGCAAACGCAAGGGCAGGAGCAGGAACAACACCACGGGGATCAAAAAAGTCAAACCCATCGTTTTCATTGTTGACTGTCACTGCAGGTGGTGGCGGCGTAGTGGTAACTGGAGGTGGTGTGGCGGCGGCAGCTGGTGGTGGTGGAGCAGTTGCTGCCGGAATTTCTTGATGGTTAATGTTCACCAGTCCTTAAAATGCTTACAAGTTAGACTAGATTCCATTACTATATATATATATATATATATATATATATATATATATATATTACAATTTACAAGTAAATAAATCTTTTGACTTATTAATTAATTAATTTACCTCTTGGTATCAACAGGGCTATGACCGTCACTCACAGCATCTTCATAACTAGGAGGCCCACCAACATTTTGTCCAGATGACCTTGGTTCAAGCCCCCTGCCCTCACCACTAAAAAAGAAAATTTTAGTTCAAATGTATATATATATATATATAATATATATATATATATATATATATATATAACGAGGGTATTTATGTCTTTTAATCAAAAAGCAGATTCCTTCGACCCTCTAAATTACCTTCCATCTGGAGAAGCATCCTTCAACTATAGCACCCAGATAACCATTTCTTGCTATAACAGTAGCATAGTTATGATTCAATTCACGAATCCAAGAATTTAATCTAATTAAACTTTTATCAGATCAGAAGTTCCTGTAAGTTCAGGAGAGTAATGCAAACAATTGTCACACTTGGAAATGCTTTGAACCAAGGAACAACAAGAGGTCAATATTTTCATTTGTTTATTTTATGTTATTAAATATAATAATATTTTGTTATAGTTGATTTTGACTTTAGACTTTGACTTTGATTAATTTGGTGTCATTTTAGGCGTGCTATTTGGTTCAGATTTGATTAATATGTTGTATGGAAAATAATTAAATTTTAAAATAACAAGATAATGTTGTGGATAATTAATTAATTTTTGGTGCTTGTTGACAAACTACCTGAACTCCTTGATTTCTCCAAGGATCTTGACAGTTTGGAACCTGCATCAAGGGTGGTGATCACAATTAATCTTATTCAAATATTTAGAAATTTAAAACATGTGTAAATGTAATTAAGAATTTATTGATTATTTATTATTTTCAGGTACAATTAAAATATTTGGCAGAGGAAATGCAAGCTATTAGCAAAGGACTTGAAAAAGTTGTCCAGGAATTGTCAATGGCTAAAAATGATGGACTTGTCTTTGAAAAATTTCTCAAATTAAGAGTTATCAGTACACAACCGTTTATGTAGGCAACCTTAGCCCTGAAGAAGTACTTTTTCTACAAATATTGCTTAAGGTAGTGGAGGGCCTTTATGTAATGTGATGGATCAACCTCTTTTAAAGTTTCATCTACATCTAGTTTTATTCTTCTGACATGCTTTTTGTATTTGGTTTAACAGCTGAGGATCATAATCAAACAAAAGCCTTGTGTTGGTGTAGGGCCTTTATGTAATTCACAACAGGTTTCCATGATGGCATGAAAGTGGTATTAAGTATTTGCATTTTTATTATATTATACCCCTCACATTTTCCCAAATTACCCCTTCCTCTACAATGTTTTTTTTTGTTTCTGTGTATTTTGTGCATTAGGTAAAGTTGATGGAAGAAAGGAATATGAAGCCACTTGATTTAAATCTTGCAGCATTATCAGCAAGATGCAGTAAAACTTGGAGTTGAATTTGGCTAAGTCATTATTGAGTGAGATGGGCCAATGTACAATTGCATATCCATATAATCAGCTGTTTGGAACATTACTTTTAAAGAATTATGAAAGGCAAGATGCAACTTTACTTAGTTGGAACTTGATGTACATAGTAGATTAGATGCAAATTTATATATTGTAAGAAATAGAATTATATGACATTAAATTTATGCAATGGATTCTATTTTTTGTATATGATATTTTATTTTCTATTATGAAACATTAAATAAAAATTTAATTTGAAAATAATTAAATCTATAAATAATATTTTTTTTAAACATTTAAAATTATGATACGCAAAAATGTGTGTCATCTTCATTTATGACATGGCCTTTCTTGATAGGGGCTTTCTTGATACGCATTGTGTGTCATTAACACGCGCGTCGTAAGGTTATGACACGCGAATGCGTGTCGTCTTCCTTTATGACAGGGCCTTCCTTGATACGCATTGCGTGTCGTAAATGCGCGTTGTAATTGCACGTCATAAATGAGCGTCGTAAATGCGCGTCGTCTTTCTTTATGACAGGAACCTTCCTTGACGCGCATTTGCGCGTCGTCTGAGCCTTTTACGACGCGCAATGAGCGTCGTAAAAGGCTGTTTTTCTAGTAGTGAGCCACAGCCCTTCACCGCCCACTGCCAATGTCACCACATCCTCCCCCAGCCTCTCCCAAATGGATTTTTGATACAAGGGCATCCAATCATGTTGCATCAGATCCTACCTCCCTTCATCACGTATTGGAATACGGAGGACCCGATGAGATAGTGCTCGGTGATGGTACCTGCTTACCTATTACACATACTGGTCACTCCTATATTCACACATCTCACAAACCATTAATTTTATCTAATGTGCTTCATGTTCCTAAATTAAACAAGAATTTAGTTTCTGTTGGTGAATTATGTGACACTAATCTTGTTTCGGTGGAATTCTTTCCATCTCATTTTTATGTGAAGGATCTGGACACGGGGGCGCGACTCATGCGAGGAGAGAGAACTGATGGCGTTTACCTCACTCGGTTCCCTAAAACACGTTCCATTCATGTCACCTCCAAGACCTCACCACTTCTTCTTCATCACAAACTTGGTCATCCTTCGCGTCAAGTCTTCAAGCAATTAGTTTCTAAGTTAGGTTTTATATTTCAGTCTGAGTCTAATGTTCATTGTTCATCTTGTTCAATTAATAAAAGCCATAAATTGCCATTTGGTCAAAATTCCTTTGTTGCTACCAAACCACTTCAACTCATTTATTCGGATGTATGGGGACCGGTACAAAAATTTGTTGATAAATTCTCTTATTATGTCATCTTTGTCGATTATTTCACCAAGTATACATGGCTATATCCTTTAACTCACAAAAGTGACGTTGCTCTCGTCTTTCCACAATTCAAAGTGTTAGTTGAAAAATTCTTCCAGCTACCCATTGTATCCTTATTTAGTGACAATGGAGGTGAATACATAGGTCTTAACTCATACCTTCAACAGCATGGTATATCTCACTACACAACTCCACCCCACACTCCTGAACAAAATGGCATTGCGGAAAGACGTCACCGGCACATAGTTGAAACCGGTTTAGCACTCCTCCATCATGCTCATATGCCATTAACCTTCTGGTCCCATGCATTCCAAACAGCCGTGTACCTTATCAACCACCTTCCAACACCCCTCCTCCAAAATAAATCCCCCTTTGAATGCCTCTTTCACCAATCACCAAACTATCATAAACTACAACCCTTTGGTTGCCTATGCTATCCGTGGCTCCATCCCTATACCACCTCCAAATTACAACCACGATCAGCCCCTTGTCTATTTTTCGGGTATTCATCATCTAAGTCCGCATACAAGTGCTATGATACTCAAAACAAAAAATTATACCATTCCCGACATGTGGAGTTCATTCCAACAACATTCCCTTATACCGCCGAAAACCTTCCTGAAACACTCCCTACCCCTGATACGCTACTCGACTCACTCACACCTGAACAAAATCCTCTACATACTACCGACATGCCCACCTCTCCAAATCCAGCACCGCCACCTACACCTTCCCCTCCTCTATTCACTACAGCTGATACTATCCACCCAAAACCCATCACCGACTCCACTACTGCACCTGACGAGGAACCAGCCACCCCTACCCAGCAACCACCGTCTCCCAGCACCTCCAATCCACCATCCCCAACAGTACAGCCACCTCCTACAGCCTCAACGCTTCCTGCCCATCGGCATAGAAAACCCAATACCAAATATTACAACCAATCATTTGTTAACTCCACTACTTTACACCCCATTCCAAACTCCATCGAACCAACCACCCATACTCAAGCTCTAAAGGATCCCCAATGGCGCACTGCCATGGACCATGAGTTCAACGCTCTATTACAAAATGGTACCTGGGAACTAGTAGCCAAATCCTCCCACACTCCAATAGGATGCAAATGGATTTTCCGCATTAAACGCAACCCGGATGGTTCCATCTCCAAATATAAGGCCCGCTTAGTCGCCAAAGGATTCCTCCAACAACAAGGCAAAGACTACTTCGAAACATTCAGTCCGGTTACTAAACCTGTCACAATTCACACAGTTCTATCCATTGCCCTCTCCTCTAACTGGAACATCCGACAACTAGACGTTAATAATGCTTTCCTTCATGGCACCTTGCATGAAGAAGTATTCATGACTCAACCTCCTGGTTATATCCATTCTGATTATCCTACTCATGTTTGCAAACTCCATAAATCTCTCTATGGGCTCAAACAAGCACCTAGAGCTTGGTATCTCGAACTCACTTCCTTCCTTGTGTCGTTTGGCTTTCACAAATCCAAGGCTGATCCATCTTTGTTCATTTATAAATCCGGTACCATCATTAGTTATCTCCTTGTGTACGTCGATGATTTTGTACTTACCGGCAACAACAACTCCTTTCTTGACAAGTTCGTCTCCGCATTATCCAATCGGTTCTCCATAAAAGACCTAGGTGCCCTTCATCATTTTTTAGGTGTTGAAGCCATTCCTGTCTCCACTGGTCTCTTTCTTTCCCAACATCGTCACATCCATGATCTCTTACAACAATTTCACATGGATGGAGCTAAAGAAGTCACAACTCCGTTAAACTCCTCAGCTCATCTCACCTTGCATGACGGCTCCCCCAGTACAGATCCGACACCGTATCGCCAACTTGTGGGCTCACTACAGTACCTCGCGTTTACACGTCCGGATATATCTTTTGCGGTCAACAAACTATCACAATCCATGCATGCTCCTACTGATACACATTGGCAAGCTTTAAAAAGAGTTCTTCGATATCTCAAAGGTACAATTTATCATGGCTTATATCTTCACAAGCAATCAAGTCTCTCATTTTCAGCCTTCTCGGACTCCGACTGGGGTAGTATTGGGTGTGGTGGTCGCTCAACAACAGCTTATCTTTTATTCCTTGGCTCCAATATTATCTCCTGGCGATCTGCAAGACAAAAATCTGTATCTCGTTCGACTACAGAGGCGGAATACAAAGCCCTTGCCAATGCTGCCTCCGAAGTTATGTGGGTTAAAAACTTATTGTGTGAACTTGGCATCTTGCTGCCTCAGTCTCCTACACTTTTCTGTGACAACACCGGTGCTACATATTCATGTGCGAATCCTGTTTACCACTTAAGAATGAAACATGTGGCCTTAGACTACCACTTCGTCCGTGAACAGGTACAAGATGGCTCACTTCATGTTCGTCATGTCAACTCTGTCGATCAGCTTGTAGATGCTCTAACGAAACCTCTCTCACGGGGTCCATTTCAACGACTACGATCCAAGATTGGCGTATCCGATGGATCCTCCATCTTGCGGGGGCG